CTTCGCGGTCTGCCCCAGCCTGCCTCGCAGCGAGTGGGCAACCGAATCCGCCGGGCGTACGGGGTGCAGCATCCCGCGGCGAGATGCTGGCGGTGCCGGCGCGTGCCGTGGACTGGAAGATCGTTTTAGGCTTCTTACCTTCCTCTGATTGACCCTCGTGTCCCGTGAGCAGTGTTGTCCCAGCTGTATAATTTGGAAGCAATTTACTGGAATTACAAAACCTGTCTCTTTTTTTTTTTTCCTTTTTTTTTTTTTTTTTCTTTTTAGCTTTTGCTCTGGCTGCTTTAGGAAACTTACGCAGGAGAGATGGCACAAGAGGGCTAAAACCAGAGTGGGGGTCAGGGACTTGATTTTTAAGCAGCTTGAATGGTTTCTTTCATTTTTTAAGAGGTGCACTTGCCTATGATACTGTCTCTCCAGTGAAATGATTACTGCTCCATTACTCTATTGATACAATATTGTGCATGCTAGTGTCGTATTTCTATACAGTAGCTTGAAATTTATTAACTTATACTGTAGATGTTATGTATTCCTATGACAAAATAGTCTTCAAAAATTTTTTAAAGTTTTTTAATTTATTTTTTTCTTTTGGGGGTAAAGTTTGCTCTACCAAATAGTGATCGTAACAAACTGATCTGTTCTGGATGTTGCTATAGTGACATGCAATTATATATGATTTTGTTTTTAAAAAGGAAAAAAAAGCAAAAGAAAACACCAGTGTTAGCTTAATCTTAATGTCTGGTGTTCGTCATGGTGAAATTATAACTATTACAGTGTAGGAGAACAATGACTGTGTTCTTTGAATGAGCCTTTGTTTGTGCTTTTTGTCATGTTATGCAGTGAACTATTTTTAAGGTCTAATCAGTGATTATTTTTCCAACTCCGTGTTTCTGTAAGGAATTATTTCACACACGGACCATTCTTAGCAGTTTTTCCTCAGTGATGGAATATCATGAATGTGAGTCATTATGTAGCCGTCGTACATTGAGCAAATAAACTTACAGATCTGACGTCAGCGCTGCTTAATCCTTATCGCCTGTGTTGACTTTCTGGGGGGCTCCGTGGGATGGGATGGGATGGGATGGGATGGGAGGGGGCTCCCCTCGCTGTCGGCCCTCGGGAGCTGGGGTGGGCAGTGGAGAACGGGAGTCAGCGGGGGTCAAGGGGAGGCAGGGGGCTGTTTCTGCTCCTGGGGGCCATCTCCCTTCCGCCCGCGCCGAGGGAGGCGGAGAGGCTCCGCGTCC